TAATAACCAAGTAAACTTGAATACTACAATCACATGATTTCATAGATATTACAGATCTAAAGAACAGATTAAAAAAATGACAATCAGGTTGGCCAAGGAGTATCACACAATGACACGCCGGTCATGGTCCAACAAGAAGTAATGAGAGCTCCGGAGTTATACAGTGGAAACTCATCGTCAGTAATAATTCCAAATGATAACGATAAAATCAATAGCGAATCATGGAATTGTCCAATATGTACATTTAGAAATTCTTCACTGATGTCACAATGTGAAGTGTGCTTGAACAAACGGCCAGATGCACGCCAACAATGGAGTTGTCCGGGTTGTTCATTTATTAACGAATGCGATGTTATTATGTGTGTAGCATGTGATTACGTTAATGATTACTAAATACATAGAATCTCACTAAGTGGATTACATTTTAAATTCGTTCGGGTAGTCAGGGAATTTTGAATCAATCTAAAGTTGATTCCAAGTCTCTTTAAGCGATAATTTTTAAAATTATAAACGATTATAATTTTAATTAATTTAGTGTTGGATTTGTGCTTTAATTAGTTGATAACAAAATACTTGTTTAAATACCAAACTTTGTAGTGTTTTAAGGCAAACTCTTAGAGTTCTTACGAGCTATATTTACTATGCTTCCGCAAACATTTTTATCTTTATAGTTATTATTTTTACGCATTTATAACTTTGATAGAATCTATTTTCTGGAAAGTTTGCTCAGCACCTCTAATGAAATTTGTATTAGAAGGTTGAGATTTGATTAAACGAGTTTTTATTAATCATTGATTAATTCTAAATCAATATATTAAACAGAAATTGAATTCTCTTATCACTCAGTAATTATAAATTTTTTTTCATAAATAAAATAAAAATTAATTAAATGGGGGTTTTTAGTTTTTGATCGCATGGAATCGCAGAATCTTTATGAATTCTAAAAACTTGTATTGCAAAAAAATGGGACCCCTGCAGATCAGATCAGATAACGATGTCATGTGAGAATTGAAGCTTTTGTATATTTAAATAAATAATTCGATCTTAGCATTTTTTAATTCTGAAACCCAACTGCCTTTTTTTAATCTGTTCTTTAGATCTGTAATATCTATGAAATCATGTGATTGTAGTATTCAAGTTTACTTGGTTATTAATTGATACGTACCTACATCTAATGCAAATACATGGTATCCAAGGGACAATTTACATTATGTAATTATATAGTGAATATTCATTATAACGGACGGAATTTCCCAACTCGATCAATCCGTTATAGTGAGTAAACTGTAAATACAATTTTAATAACAATAAATTGTAGCTTAACCAACTTTCGAAATTTTATTTCTTATCATGTGATCTTTAACAGCAGAGTTAGCCTAAAAAATGGTGATTCACAAGGATAGGATTGGACCGGGTCTAGGCTGAACTTTTAGGGACTAGTTTAGAACTAGCGAAATTCGTCCCCGTAATATTGTGATTTCAAGATAGTCTAATTGGCTAATCCAAAATGTAATCATTCAATACAGCCATCAAATTCATTTTTTAGGTGCTAAAATTAATTTTTTTGCATCAATTAATTTAAAATAAAATCAGGACCATTTTGCACTTAAGACACCAAAATAGTTGTATTAATAAAATTTTGCAGTATCGGTATGGATCTTCATAATTTGCAATTTCTTGTGATTTATTATAAAAACACAAGGGTTAGACCGAGATCAAGAACTCGTTACTAACCAGTTCGGGATCGGACTTTTTAACAGCCGAATTTTTTTAATATCGATATCGATATCCCTGAAAAGACCATCATCCCCGTGTTACGCAAATTTGGAAATACTTATTTGTACAAGTGATACGTACAAACCAAAAATCAAATTCATAAAATTAAAAATTTAGGGTTAGAACGTTAAAGTTAGATGCTATAGAAATAAATGATCACTCTCCGCACGGAAAATTTCATTTCCGTTCATTTTTAATTAGTGCTCTAAGACAGGTTTAAACACTCATTTTTCTTGTATTTTCGTTTTTTCTTCGCTTTGCTCACGTGTCGAGCTGATCCGGATAATCACATTTTACGTTCTCCAATTGGCTAATTTCCCACAAATAAGTGCACGCCACAATGGTGTCGGTATGGAAA